CTCCTTCCCCACCACCTGGCGGAGCCGAGTCCAGAAGGGACGCGCCACACCTGCTCTCCGCCGACCCCAGCCCCCGCCCCGGCGCCCATGGCCTTGCCGGGACCCCGAGCCTTACGGGCTGCGCTCTGTGGTGGCTGTTGCTGCCTCCTCCTGTGTGCCCAGCTCGTTGTGGCTGGTAACGCGGGCCAGGGTCTGGTTAGGAGCAGGGGCAGGTGGAGCGCGACTTTCACCCAGGAGCAGTCTGGGCTGGGAGGGGCGGGGTAGGGGGCGAAAGGGGACCTTCCTGACGCGTGTAGGGCTCCAGGGGTGCGTAAAGGGGGCTCTAGCTGTGTGTGGAGCCCCGTGTATGTATACTGTAGGGAGCCTCAGGTGTGTCTGAGGGACGCAGCTTCAAATGTATCTGGGGAACCCCAGGTATATGCAAAGGGAGGGAACTCTGGGTGAATGTCAGGGAGGTTTTAGGTGTGTGTTATCATATTTGTGGAAACTCCAGGTATGTAGTGGGGATTAGGGGATCCAGGTGAGTGTATATGTGCAGAGGGTGAGAACCACAGTAATGGGGAAGGGGGGGTGCAGCTCAGACTCAAGGAGTTGCTTCCACCCCACTCCCAGGTAAAGGAGCTCGAGGCTTTGGGCGGGGAGCCCTGCTACGAATGAACATCTGGCCAGCTGTCCGAGGGACCTGCACACAGCTGAAGCTCTGTGAGCACTGTGTGGAGGGGGACAGAGCGCACAACCTCTCTGGCTGCGTGTGGGAACAATGTCAGCCCGAGGAGCCAGGTATGGAGTTTGGCCCACCCCAAGTTGAGTGCCCTCGTTCTGAACCCCAGGGCCTTGCCCCCCCAAACCTCTCCCCTGCACTTTCTCCCACCAGGACACTGTGTGGACCAAGCTGAGGTGGTCAAGGAAGGTTGCTCTGTCTACAACCACTCAGAGTCATGTCCAGGTAAGGGGGCTCCTGCTGGCCTAAGCCAAGTTGGGGGAAGGGGGCTGAGGTGTCCCCAGCCATAGCCTGCCCTCCAGGAGAAATCTGTCTCTCTCCGGGAGTGGACCATGCCTACGAACACCTGGGTCCAGTTTCAGTTCTGCCTTTAGCTCACCAAGAATTCCCTTCCCCTCTCTGGCCTGTTTCCTCATCTGTAAATTGGTACAGATGGAGGATCCAGGACAGGGGTGTGGAGCGGGTGGGGGAGTTAGCTCTTCTCATTTAAAGCATAGTGAGGACTTTGGAAGTTCAGAAGGGAACAGGGGAGGGCTTTGTGGAGGAGGTAGCATCAGAGATGACACTTAAAGGTCAGGATGGAGAGAGGGCACATCTGGTGGAAGGAACTGCGTGAGCTAAGGCCTGAAAGTATATTGGGTGGGTCTGGACCTGGGACAGAGGACCTGAGTCAGAGTTCCAGCTGTTGGCTAGGCCTGGGATCATCTCTATGGGAGTCAGGGGGTGGAAAAGCTGGGTTCTTATGGATTCCTGTCTCTCTAGCTGCCCACCACCACCCCACCTATGAACCGAAGACAATCACAACAGGTAGGTACTGCCTTGGGGAACTGGGCAGTGGCAGGACTAGAGGTGCAGGGAAAGACAGAGCTGGGCTGAGGCACTGACATGCTCTGTGACCTCAGACCTGTGACTTCTCCCTCTGAGCCTGTTTCCACATCTGTAACATTGGTTGGGTACCACCTTACATTGTTGCCGTGAGGATTTTATGAAAGGGTATGTAGCACCTAGTCCAGTGTCTGATGCAAGGAAGGCAATCAAGAAATGATGGTTTCAATCCCTTCTCCGCAACACCATTTCTGAGAACTCAGAGTGACCCCCTCAAGGACCTCTGCTTGGTGCTGAGGGTGTATGGCTCAGATTGCCAATGAGATGTCCACTGTGACCACCTACTGTCCAGAGAGCGTCACAAAGCAGATTCCTAGCAGAACAGAGGCAAGAACCCCACCCCTTGGCCCCCGCTGCCCCTCAGGGCCTGGAGTTCAGCAGGCTTGGCAGGGATGGCTGAAGAGGCTCTTGGTTAATTAAACCCAGAAACGTGATCTCAGAGGCTGAATTATTGATGGTTCAGCTCCCTCCAGCTCAAGCCCCAGATCAGTCTTGTGCAGCTCATTTCTTTCCTCTTCTGCTCCCCTTCCCCCAGAAAGGGCTCCCCGAGCTGCAGCTGGGACCACCCTTTGCCCTTCATATTCTCAGACCTCCTTACACAAGCTACCCCCTCTAGGATGTGGACCCAGCTCCCAGCAGGGCCCAATGTCCACTGCCCCAGAATGATCTCCCACCACCAGCCCTGCCCTGTCCTGGGCACCGGGCCCAGGGCCTGAAATCAAATCCCTGTTGAGAGTTGATGGCTAATGTGGCACAGCTGGGAGCCGCCCAGGCTCAGCCTAACAACTATGGCCCCTACAGTGGGGCTGGAGAAGGGGCTAGGGGACACTGTGTAAGTCTGGCTCTATCCTAACTGTGAGGTGACTCTAGTCAGGTTGGGCCTCAGAGCCTGGCTTCTCCCTCTGACATATATCATCTAGTCCCCATTTTCTGTGGTAGGTAAAGGTGTGGGCTACTGCTTCTTCCTCTGCTCCTTCCCTTTCTAAGTCAGGGCTCTGACATGGGGTAGCTCCAGGGTCTCAGAAGTCCTGAAAGGGAATCGTATCATCTGTATATGGGCTTTGAAACCTGAAACCCAAAGTCGAAAGGGGTCTGGATGCCAGAGTTCTGGGTTCACTCTCATTCTATTGGGCGTGTGGGAGAGGGAGTCTGGAAGGGAGCTCAGTTGCCATCTGGTCCATGTGATCAAGAGGCCCAGAGAGGGTGTGAGAAGCACCAAGTCACAGAGCAATTCAGGAGCAGAGCCAGGGCCCTGGCCCCCAGCTGGGCACTGTCCCTCCCACCAGGCACCTCCCAACTGCCCACAAGATCTGGCTGAACTTTTGAGCCCGCTGCTTCAGGCTCCCATAGTGAGGACCGGCGTCTCCAGGTGACCTGTGTGGGTTACTGGGGTAGGCCTGGGATCCTGGTCCTCAGTGTCCTGCCATGACCTCCACCCTGCAGGCAGTCCTCCTGTCCCTGAGGCCCACAGCCCTGGCTTCGATGGGGCCAGCTTCATTGGAGGCATCGTGCTGGTGCTGAGCCTACAGGCAGTGGCCTTCTTTGTGGTGCGCTTCTTCAAGGCCAAGGACAGCACCTACCAGACACTGTGAGTACCTGACCAGCCTGCAGAGTCTGGCTCACTTCCCCCACCCCACTCCTGCCCCTCAGGTCCCCTTAAGTGACAGTGGCAGCCCTAAGGGCAGTGACCCCCTAGCAGTGTCCCCCATGTGAGCCACACCCCTCCCCCTCCTCCAGTCTTGGAGTTCTCTCTGCCAGGTATTGACTCAGCCTGGGCCTGGTGTCTGAGAGCCCAGCTGAGCCCACTTGTCTTTGTCCCCTCATGCTGCCAGCAGGGAGGAGAACCAGTAGGTGACAGCCTAGGCGAGACTTTGGCCTGCAGCTCTGTGGCCTTGGCAGGACCTTGGCTGTGTGTGCGGTTTGGTTTTCCTCTGGAAGGGGAGCTGCTCCAAGGCCCCTGTGTGCCGTGTGTGCTGTGGGGCGGGTCATTGCAGCCTCCATTAAAGTGTTTGCTCTTCCAGCTGCTGCTGCTCTCTGGGGGTGGGGTCCTTGGCCCCTGCCAAGGCAGGGCCACTGCCCTGAGTGCCCTCTCTGTCTGGCCTCTGCAGAATCTGACCCCCTTCAGGCCTGGATTCCACTGAGGGGAAGGAGGTTGAAGAGGCTGCCTGCTGGGCCCCCTTGGGGGCACTGGGGATGGGAAAAACTTTGGCCACCAATTTCTGGCCCCTGAAGGCACCGAGCAGTCTCAGTGTCAGTACCTGGGCCTGGTATCTGCAGCTGAGAGCATCCTTCAACCACCACCTGTCTCATCTGTCATCCCTGTGGGCCCCCTCCGGACCCCCTGCTTGGCACTGGCTCTGTGCCTGCCTCTTCCCACTGACGTGGCCTGAGAACTGCCCCCAAATAAAGGAACTCTTTCCAGCGCTGTGCTTTGTGTCCTGTGTCTTGGACTGTGTGTGGATTGGGTGGGGCGAGGGAATGGCCGCTATCCCCTCCTAGTGGGAATTCAGCCTTGGACTGTTGCTGTCACCTTTAAAAATATTTTCATCTGTTATACGTTTTTAACCCCCTTCCCTGCCCCTTTACAGATGAGAGTACAGAGACTCAGAAAAGTAAGTATATTTCCTCAAGATCACGCAGTGGGACAGGGCAGGGCTGGGGTTTGAATCCAGGTTTTTCTAGCTCCAGAGTGAGCAAAACTTCAGAATTCCCCTGCAGAGGCATCTTCAAGGCTCTCTCAGCTCCTTACGGTATGTCTCTGCCCCAGGGCCAAGGTGGAGATACCCCCGAACTTTCAACAGCCATTTCCTCACTCAGGCCCTCCTGGGAAGCCCCACCCATGCCCTCATCCCACCCTTCACCCCCCCATCCCTGGGCCCAGAAGTCTTCCCTGACTAATAACATTTCCCACTGAGGGGGCACATGCTCGGAACCAGGCATGTGGCTGAGAGTCTGATATATAGCCCCAGGACTGTCCTAGGAAGCTGAGAGGCAATAGAGAGAGTAATGGCTGAGAGTTCAGCCTGTGGAGCCTACTGCTCTGTGTGAACTGGAGCAAGTTATTTAATAACTCTGGGCCTCAGTTTTCTTATCTGTAAAGTGGGGTAACAGCAGTGTCCATCTCAGTAGGGTGTGGGGAAGATTCAGAGCAGGTGCATGTGCCCCATTGGCTTCATGCCAGGGCACCCACCCACCCTTCCAGCTGTGCAGCTGCAGCAGAGCCTCTGTACCTCTTCTCCAGGCTTAGCCTCCCTGCAGGGTCTCCAGCTGCTGCTGGAAGTCCACAGGTAGTTCCGGCTATACCTTGGCCTCACAGAGGGCTCACCTGCCTACATATCACACCATCATCCACATGCCAAACAGCCCACCCACTCCTCACATGCACATACTTCAATCAACGCCCACAATCCTCTCAGACAGCCTCCCCTTGAGCCTCCAGCCACATGGATCTACCTCTTGTTACACAGCCTGTCTTCCTCTCTCCTCCAAGCCTTTGCACATGCAGTGTCTCCTGCTTGGTTCACTCTCCTTGGCTTCTCGCTTCTCCAACCAGCACTTAAAAGCTGGCCGGGATAATGCCCATTCTCTGGGGCTGAGGGAGGAAATGCCCCCAACTCCTGCTGGCTTTCCACTCAGCTAAGAAAATTTCTTCATTGGATGTTTTCTTTTTCAAAAGTAATAAATGCCTGTAAGGAACAAAAGGACTATACAGAAGTTTATATAAAGAGTGAGAATTGCTATCCCACTGGTCTCACTCCCCAGAAGTAACTATGGTTCACAGTATTTTCAGACCTTTTCCTGTGAATTTACATTTAGCTTTCTTTAAATGCAAAGTGCTATACATTTTGTTCTGCAACTTTGCCCCTTTCATTGTCATCAGATTTGTCCTATGACTTGTCCACACGGTGATAACTTACTTGCCTGCATCCCATCAATGTGCAGTTGGGTCATTTCCACATTGATTATTATAAATTGTGTCATGATAAACAGGCTTGCCCACAGATCTTGGCACACCAGTGGGAGAGTTTGGGGAGGGCAGATTTCCAGAACTGGAACTGCGGGACCTCAGAGCATCCATCTCATGGATCCACCTGGTATGGCAAACTTGGCCTCCCCCTTTCCTGATGCCCCATTGTACCTCAACCCCCCTAACCCCCACAAGCTCTGGGTCTGGCACAGAGGAGGCCCTCAGGGAGGGTTTGATGAATGAATGAATGAATGAATGAATGAATGAATGAATGAATGAACGAATGAGATTCCCCTCCCCTCCCCTATCACCTGAGGTCCCTCTCCAGCTCACACCTCATTCCTCACATCTGGATCATGGCTGCTGCCCCCTTACTGCCTGGGCCACTCATGCAGTTGGCCTATATTAGCAGCTCTTCCCTAGGCCCAGTCAGGGGCTCCCCAAGGGACTTGAGGGTGGGCATGAAGTCATTTTGCTAAGGGTGCCTCTCTCTGGTGGGGGCATGTGGCTTAGGCAAAATCTCTGTGGCTCTGGGCATACAAGTGCCAGAGAGAGCACTGGCCATGTCCCGTCTCTGGGTCTCAGTTTCCCTTCCTTGTTCCTTCATTTAACCAGTATTTATTCCACATCTGCTTTGTGCCGGGCCTATAACCCAGGGCCAATAACAATGATTGTGAGCAGGGCTGTGTAAGGATCAGAGGCGACACACAAGCTGCACCCAGCAGACTTGTGGAGTGCAGTAGGTGCCAATGGTAGCAGCGGTCATTAACACTGTTGACAGGACCGGGGAAGGATTCCTAGTGATGACATTAGGGCTGAAACTTCAGGGACAGGCGGAGCTTCATAGTAGAGATGAAGAGAGAGGCATTCCGGATGGAAGGCTCGGGATGAGCTAAGGTTCAAAGGTGGAGAGTCCCCTGTGAATGCAAAGCTCTGGAGAGATGCTGGGGAGCTCTGGCGGCCAGGTCAGAAGTCAGACTTCTGGGTGAACAGGGCAGGGATAATACCCATTCTTTTGGGACTGAGGGAGGAAATGCCCCCACCTCCTGCTGGCTCCAACTTGCGCGGAGTGTCCATGGGGAGAGGCAATGGACAGAAGCCTTTCTCCACATTTTTCCACCAGCCTGGCCCTTATAATCTGGCATCATCCCCTCTCCAGGGCACCAGCAAGATGGGCCTCCTGCGGACTCCACTCCCTTTGCTCCTGTTGCTCAGGGAGCCTGTGTGCCTGAGGACTGAGGACCACCCCAGCTGTCAGGGTAGGGTCCTTGGGTGCCCCTCCCCACCAACTCACTCTCATTCCCTCCCTGGGTGTTCACGCAGGCTCACTAGCCTCAAAGAGAGGGTGGGAATTTTATAATCTGGGCTCTGTAAATAGATGCAAACAGTGTGAAGCCTTGAAAACTCTTGAAGGCAAGTATCCCAACAGCTAGAATCTGGGAGATGGAAAGGGAACTGCAGAGGGGTCTGAGAGAGAGAGACATGCCCACTCCCCCTATGACTACTTTGTGCCCAACCAGCCCTGCGTCTCCCTGCAGAACCCAGGGAACTGGAAGCCAGCAAAATTGTCGTCCCGCTCAGCTGTCCTGGAACCCCAGGAAGTCCCGGGGAGAAGGGAGCTCCAGGGCCTCAAGGTGAGAGATACCAGGGAGCAGGCAGGGACCTGGGGTAAACTGGGGAGGCTGGCGGTGCAGTAGTAACTGTCTATGCTAAGAGGCCATGATAAAGGGGCAGGAACCTACTGTGTGCCGGGCTCCAGACTGGGCACCCAGCATCCAAAGATCAACTCTATGAGGTAGGTAGAGAGTTTTCCCCATTTTACTGACGGGGAAAGTGAGGCTCCAAGAGGATAAGTCATTTGTCCAAAATTATAGTCAGTGAAGGGTGCAGCTGGTATTGGACTTCTGGCTCCAAGTCCCTGTTGTTTTTGACCCTGGGTATGGAGTGGGACTTACAGCATCTGTCTCTGGGATTTCAGGGCAACCTGGACCACTGGGCAAGATGGGCCCCAAGGGTGAGCCCAGTGAGTGTGTGGGGCCTGGGCCTCTTCTTTCTTTGCCCTGTCCCTCAGCTAGAGAGGGAGAGAGCCCTGCGGGACTGCTGCTCAGCCATTGGGTGTGACTGCCCTCCCGCAGGGGGATGGAAGGCTGAGGAGTGGGCAGGATTAGGAGAAGAGCCTGGGCACTCTCCTCTCTGGTGGTTTGCAGGCATCCCCTCGGGGGTACTTAGACCTTGGAACCAACACCTGGTCTTTCCATGTGGCAGGAGATCCAGCAAACCTGCTCTGGTGCCAGGAGGGTGAGGTAGCCTTCACAGGAGCCAGGAACTTGGAACCAGGCTGTGCTGGGGTGTTAGTGGACCACCAGGCATGGTCCACCTCCAGAGCCCCTTTCAGGGACTTGAAGGAGCAGAGAGGGCTCCTGAGGTCCTACTCTTAGCTTCTTCCATTGCCCATGGGGTGGGGGGTGGGGCATAACTTGGGGGCGCCCTCAGTCCATCTCCCCTTCTCTAGGCCCCAGCAACTGTTAGGAGATGCTGAGCTGGGATGCCACCTTGAGCAGCTGGTACCACCTGTGCCCACCTGAAGACAGAGCCCTTCCAGTTTTTTGTGACACGGACACCCTAGGAGGTGGCTGGCTGGTGAGTGTCAGAAGACTCACAGGCCAGGCCCAGTGGGCACTTCTGCCCCTTGGCCCCTAGGGGGAGTCAGAGCCCACTGGAGCCAAGGCATTTCTTAGAGTAATTCACTGATAAAAGTTTACTCAGCTCCCAGGCCATCTGAAGTCTGAGAAGGCTTCACAGACAAGGTGACATTTGACAGGGCCTTGAAAGCTATGCAGAAATTCTCAAAACAGATGAGGTGCAGAAGAGCATTCCAGGTAGAGGGAAAGACAAACCCAGGGAGGCAGGACAGTACAAGAGGGTTTGTGGGGGGCCATGTGAGTGCGCTGAGAGTAGGTATGAGTGGTCGGCTGAGGAATACTGGTGTGGGTCAAGCATGGATTGAAGGCCTCTGCGAAGGCCAGTTCATGGAGGGCACGGACTGAGGATCATGGAGGTAAATGGGGAGCCATGGGAGAGTTTGAAGCAGGGAATTGCCAGGTCAGATGTATGCTTTAGAAAGATGGGAATGTGGAAGATGCACTGCAGTGCGGGGCAAGAGTGGAGGCAGGGACCCAGGTTAGGAGGGCTTCAGAGGTCCAGACAGGAGAAGACAGTGGGCAGTGGCAACAATGGAAATAGAAGCACTTAGGCTGAAAGATATTTAGGAGGGAAATTCTACAGAGCCTGGGGACTGCTTGGCTTGAAGGGAAGTATGGGTAAGGCAAAGAGTCCAGCTTGGGCCTCTGGAGGTGACCTATCTTGGTTCTTATTGTAGAAAATTAAAGCAAGTTATTTTAAATCTGACCCCCAGCAGGACTGACCATTTCCAGAAAGCAGGAACGATTTTTCTATCATTTCAGTCTCCTCCAGGGCTTGCAAGACTTTGGTGTGAAGTTGAGTGTCACTAACTATTTTCCTGACACTAAAGTTAATAAGAGAACATAGAGTTCATCAGTATAGTCACAGGCGAAGCTCACTTGGACGCACACTAGGTCAACAAACCCTCAGTCCAAAGAGGCAGGGAGTGTCTGCCCACACCTCAGAGTGATGCCGGTGGGCTGGCCTTCTCTGCCTCCCTAGGTGCTCCAGAGGCGACAGGATGGTTCTGTGGATTTCTCCCACTCTTGGTCCTGCAAAGCAGGTTTGGGGAGTCAGGAGTCTGAATTCTGGCTGGGGGATGAGACTCTCCAGGGTAAGTTCCCAGCAGGGCCCGGGGAGCCTGAGGGGCATTCCTCTGGCATTCTGGGGTCTGAGGATTCCTCCTCCCTGCCCCCCACCCCCAGGTACCTGGGAGCTGTGACTGGAGCTGGAGGACTTCAACAGCCACCGCACCTTTGCCTACTACGGGTCCTTCTGCCTCCTTGGGGAGGCAGGTCACTACCAGCTGGTGCTGGGCAAGTCTTAGAGGGACTGCAGGTGAGCAATCCTAAGGTGGGGCCCTGGAGTAAGAGGAAAAGGTGAGGGAGGCTGGGTACTTGCCCAGCACTGCCACTGCCTCCATAATGGCCTAGGATAATTCCTTCTCCTCTGTGGGCCTCAGTGTCCTCATCTAAGAAATGGCACTCATGAGCCAAGGTGGTACAGGAATAAAGAATTTGGGCTCTGGAAGCAAACAGATGTGAATTTGAATCCAGCTCTGTCATTTACTAACTATGTGACCTGGATTTGCCCAGGGAGGGAGGCTGTGGCACTGTCTGAGGCTCTGCCAGCATTATCTGCTTTGGAAGAGGAACTAGGGCATGCATTTTTCAGAGAAACAGCAACTGTTGAGGAGAGACTTGAAAGAGGGAAGTAATTATGAGGTGTTGCCTCAGGGGAGCCCCCTTTCCTGTCCAGGCATCTGAGAAGTCCCTCTCAGCTCTCCCTGACAGGGGTGCTCAGGCTGCCGATGGGAGCTAGGAAGAAACAGAGGAGCTGGGGGGAGGCTGGGGATTCTGTGAGGGGACAAGGCAATGGGAGGACCTGGGGGCTTTGGAGCCACAGTCCCGAGTTCAAGTCCCCATGCCCCTGTGACCAGTTGAGTACCCTGCGGCAAATACCCTGGCTTCTTGGTACTGCTGCTTTCTCATGGGGCCTGATAACACCCACCTCTCAGTTGCTCTGAAGCTCCTGTGGGGTCATCTCTTCAGAGATGCCAGGCATGGTGCCAGCACCAATGTGCCTCCCATTCCCTCCCTGCCAGGGGACTCCCTGAGCTTTCACAATGGGAAGTCCTTTAGCACCTGTGACGCTGACCATGACACAAGTGAGAACAAGTGCGCAGTGACTGTCCATGGTGCCTGGTGGTACGAAGCCTGCTATCACTCTAATCTCAACAGACGCTATGCGATGTCCCCCACCACTGTCCACAAGTATGGCATGGACTGGTCCTCAGGCCTCGGCGTGGGCCACCCTTACCGCAGGGTTTGCATAATGCCTCGTTAGGGCACCCTGACAATGAGCACCCTTATCTCTCCTGTACAGCTTCCGGATGCTCAGCTACTCCCCACTGCTAACTGCCTCTGTTCTGTTCATATTTAAAAATAAAATAATTTTAACCCTTTTCTGGCTTGCAGGACTCTTCCAGTTACTTGGAAAAATTAAAGAGGGCAGAGTTGGTACCTAGGTTTTAGCTCCATTCAAGGAAGACTTCTTTCAGTCAAGAAGATGGAAGGGTCAGCTTCATAAGTCTGGAGGCAGACAGGCTAAGGCCAGGGGAACATTTAGTGAAGGCCTTGGAATTCAAGCATTCCCTGACAGTGCCCTTGGGCCCTCTGGATCCTGCAAGTGGGTGGCTTTGTGTTAATTGCAGCTTTCTCACCTCTCTGTTGCCCAAGCCTGTCCTTTCTAGGTTATCTGTTTTCCACCCCAGCCTGTGTTGTAAACCAAATTCTCACCCTTGGCTTCTTCTCACAGGTTCCACCAGGAGCTGGTTTAAACTCAGGGTCAAACCAAGGAATGGGCCACAGGTAGTGAAATAGCAGTTGCTGAGCTAGCATTTATCAAGCACTTAATTTGCCAGAGCCACATTCTAGAAAGTGGCAGAGCAATAAGTAGTTAAGAGTCTGATATCTGCATTCTGATAGGGAGTCCTGGGATTGCATCCTGCTCTGTCACGTGACTGAGTGATCTTGGAAAAATTACTCAACGTAAGTCCCCAGTTCCTGATTTCACGATCCACTGAGGTTTACACCAGTCGCTGCCTCACTAATTCACACTAAAAGGGTAGGGATTCTTGGGAATTTGGAGATGGGAAGCTGTTGTAGCCGAAGGGCTGGGGTTCTGGGGTTCTTCTTCAGGTGGGTAAAGGAATGTTTGTGTGGACACTCTTCTCAGGTTGCGTGGTCACTTTGAGTGGAGGTCAAAAATCAGCAGATTGGTTTCTGGGGAAAGCAACCTCCTGGCAAGAGGGCAAAGGTGGGGGCTCAGGTGCCAGTCCCTATACTAGGGCTGATGGCCTCCTGGCAGGTGGAGGGTAGACTTCCCCCATTCCAGCCACTCCCTGGAGAAAACGCACTCTTCTCCGCGCTCCCGCACACCCCGACGCCTCTGGAGACCCATTCATTCAACAGATCCCCGCAGGCAGGGCCTGCGAAGCACACCTCTCCCTTAGCCCCGGCCCCAGAGTGGGCGGCGTGCACAGTGACACAAGTGGCTGTTCCGGAAGTGGCCGGACTCAGAACTTCTAGCTGGAGAGAAGGAAAGGGAGCAGCCGAGTCCGGGGCAGTCAGGGAGCGGTACTGCCCCAGGGCCGAGGGTGGAGCTTTTAGATCGGCCAGGAAAGGGATGGGCCCAGCCCACGAGTGAGGGCAGGAGAGAGCGACTTTGGACGCTTTCCCGCGGAGTCTGTGCCGCGTACAGGGTCCGACCCATTCCCGGGACCTCCCACGTGACTCTGAGCCGCGGATCACCCGGTGCCCCAGATTCCTGGGACCCAATTCCCGATTTCAGATCCTCAGGACCTTCCAAGTCGGAGCCTGGATTTCGCCCTGGACTCCAGATCCCGAGGAACGGAACCTCCGGCGGGACTTCGCATCTGCAGATCCCGTAGGAGATTCACGGTCTCGAGACCCCTGGATCCGTCGTCCCAGGTTCCTGCCCTGCCCGGGGTGCCCAGAACGCGCGCGACGCCCGAGCGCCCCCGCATGGCGGGGCCGTGCCCGCAGCGCGCGGG